TTAGTACTCTTTGAAGTTCAATTTTATCCCGCTCTTTCAAATTAATTAGAAAGTAAAAGAGGGTAGTAATATCAAAAAAAGACCATGCACATTTTCATATCCAACAAAGACATTTTTCGAATAAAAACAAAGTCGGGTGTACATCCATAATTAGCTTTGTGACCAGCTCGTTTGGCAAAAAGGCGTTAAAATCGAGCGCTTTATTTAAGTAACACTCATACAAAAAGAGCAATTTTTTTAGCGTTAACGAACAAATGACTTCAACAGCTCTCCTCAACTACTTTCTGAATTTCAATTTTATCCCACACTTTCATATTACCAAGAAAGTAAACAAGCAACTGATATTGAGTGAGCTTCCTGTTTGTCTCTACACTATACGTGTATATATCATGAGTTGTTATATGAGTATGAATCTTAATGAATATGCAGGTCAGCTTTAAAAGATTTAGTGCGGATATAATTCAAAAGGGTTCTAACTCCATGGACAGCAAAGCGTTTGTCTAATTGTCTGCTTTACTGCTTGTCTCACTTCACTAATCTTCCAGCAGTAAAGAAATGGATTTAACGTTGAATTGAAGTAAAGTAAGGTTATTGCTATTCCTCTGGTGTTGATTAGATCTGATGAAAATATTTTCTTACGAGCCGTCACAATTTCAAGTATGATATACGGAGCATAACAAACAACTGAAGCTGAAACCACCCATAGTGCACTGTTCACCGCCTTTCTGTATCGCGAAATGTTAAGTGTATTTGGTTGGCTCTCCTGTTGTTGAACACGATCTTGTAGTTGTGCCTGATGATGGCTGAGGGTGCGAAAAATCTTTGTGTACGAGCCAATTAAGATCACCAGACAAGATGGAACCAAGAAATATCCATACCATAAGGTTATACGGTAATCTAAAATGTAGCATAAGGCAGCGGCACTAGATAAAACCCAAACGACAGCTAAAGAAATATATGTGCGTTTCAAAGTCACAATCTGTTGATATTTAAGCCCCAGCAACAGGGCGAGAAGTCTGTCCACACTAATGGCCGTCATTGTCAACACAGATACCCCACATAATGTATAGCTTGTTAAATAGCTGGCGCCCCTTGTGTATCGACAAAGATTCCAATGTTCATAAACCATGGACATCCGATAAATAGCATAGAGAGGCTGGGTAATAATTCCTACCAACAGATCAGTTGTTGCCAGACAACGGTACAAGAGTTTGGATGGCGGATGAAGAGAGGATTCTTTGTGAAGGGCAACAAGGATTAGAGAATTACCAAAAAATGCTGTGAGAGAGAAGATCATATTTACTACTGCGAGATGAAACAATTGTTGTTGTAATCCACCAGTAAACAACGGGGAACATGCCAGTTCTTGATAAGTTTTCATCTGTATTTCACCTTCTGTCAAATTGTTTGTCTCAATCATTCTGTCGGTTCTCTCCCCTTGAGATTGCAAAGAGAATAATTTGGTCTTAACAGCACCCGTCCAGCTACGATCACTGAAGCCTTACCTTCTTAGAAACGATTATATAAAGACTTCCTGGGGTGATCACGTAATAAATTTCGTGAGAACATTGCCTGTAAAGTCTAAAAGTTTACTTTTTCCTTCTCTAGACTTTTCGAGTGCGCCGCAGGCATAAATTGGCAAAATGAGGCAAGGATAAGACATCTGTAGTATTATTACTTCATAGTGCTACGAATACTCTCTCCTTTAATACTTGGATAAACTGTCATTACCAGGATAGGTTATTAAGCTTACTTGTTGAAGTTCAGAATAATCATTATCAACCTCAACAAACTTAAAGTAAAAAGTCAACGCAGAGATTTTAACCAGTTTTGGAGAAAATTGAATTCGTGACAATCTCCGAGTATTTAAAACTAGACAATTTTACCTTTTGTCGCAGATACCAAAATATCTTAAAAGGTATTTAAATTTGCAATTCAAAACTGAAGTCTTCCAGCCTTTTATTATCTGTTTCTAGCCCGACTTTAAATAGAAACAAGACAGTGCCTGAAGCAAGATACTACGTCACCGAACCCTTTTCCAATTTTCCTTTTTATTCCCTTCACGTGCCCCTTTCTTTACGCCAGGAAGGCATTCATTGGGTAATTGTTTACTATAATCAGAAGCAAGAGAAGGCTATTCGACTCTATGATCCCCTCCTTTTCTAGAAGTTTGGTTAACAATAAATAACGTTTTCGTATCAAGCCAGGTGATTGGTTCTTCATGTTGCAATTGACTAGTTATAGTCCAATACTGCAGTATGTGTTAACATAACAAGGTATAAACCGCGGTAGAAAATAAACCGATGAATGGTTATATTCAGTTCAACTTGTCACACAGCTTATTATTACTCGTTAGAATTGTGCGCTGAAAGTTCCATACCTAACAAATATCATAATCTTTTTTTTTGGTGAGATTTCATCTTTGTGCCTTGTATTTATGTCTTCAAAATGACGGACAACGTTATTTAACACGAGGGGCTGTAGCGTCATACTAAACATTAGTAGTATGCGACAAAGCTATGGGTTTGAATGGTGAACTTTCATTTCTAAATGAATTTGCATTTAGAGTTCAACATAGAGACATCTGTCAGTGTTATTATTTCACAATAAAGCATAACAGCCTGTTTATAAGCAAAAATTCATTGGCAGCCAAAGAATAAGACTATTTGTTACATTTAATTATTGATAAACGATCGGTCTTCAAGAGAACTCAGTAAGAACTAGTGATGCCCAATTTTGTTTTATTTACTCACCAATAATCCTTTTACAATTAATATGACCATCTTCACACTTTCATGACCAATATCGAATTATCCGACTGTTTAAACTAATTTTAGTGTACAAATGACATTAAGACCGGCTCGTTTGGCTAAGAGGCGTCAACGTTAAGCACTTTATTTGAGTGCGACTAAGGATTGAAATTATTTTACCGTTCATAAACAAATAACTTGAAAAGCTTTCCTTTACTTCTCTTGGATTTTCAGCTTTAACCCACCTGACATTTTCATATTTCTATGAAAGTAAAAGAAGTTAGGAAGTAAGATATTAAGACTCCCCGTCTATAAATATGGAAAATAACTCGGCAAAGGTCAAAAATTTGAATTCGCTCATATTTTTATGGTAGATAGGCTAGGACATGACAAAAACTACGGGATAGTCTTTTAGGCAAAATATCCTTTCATTTCAAGGAAATATGCAAATTACTAAATTCAGTTGAAATCGTCATTTGACGCGCCATTTTATTAAACAAGTTTGAGAGCCTCACATGCAAAACCACATCATTCTTCCGTCTTTAAAACACTCAAATATTTTTTTGCAATGTTTAAATGTG